CAGAAGAATGTAAATAACTCCATCCAACAAAAGCAGCACAGACATCGAAAGCATTTCCAACGACAATAATACCCAATAGAATATTTCACCGCCAATAAATGCAAAGATGTTCTTCGACCACGATCTCTGCTTCCGATAGACGCAGCCAGGCGGGTTAATTCGGGTCGCGGGCGAAACCACGGGCCACCCGCTTCACGGCCGTCCGGGTGATTAATGCAAACGATCATAATTACGTAACAGATTGTTGATGCACCGAGCACCGGTGTCTCTTTAAAATTTCATCACGGTCCGTGAGACTCGTTCCAGCCCCCTCCCTCTCGCCCCTCCACGGTGGCCACGTTGGCAGTTAACCCCATCCGGGGAGAGCAGCGCTCGCGCCAGAGAGAAAGAGAAAGATAGAGAGGATGGTGCTCATCCCCAAAACTCGTCGGCGTCAGGCTTGTTCTCCGGATAAGCCCCTTTCGTCGCCTTTTTTGTCGTGCTTTTTTTTGTGTTATCGAACCGGCCACGTCCAAAAGCCCAATTAGAATCGTCCTATTGTCTGGCCACGTGGTCCGCACGAGCCGTATGCATACGGACGCGCGCGCTTCGCTGTGCGCGTGTTGTGTATATCTAGTATTGGGCTCGTCGCGTGCGTCCAGGTAGAGAGAGCACGGATTGCAGACGATCGACACACGCACGATGAAACGGGCAGTGTCCCCGTGTTACGACCCCTCCTCCTCCCCTTTATATGGTTTTTTGGTGGCTTTCCTTTTTGGCCGCGATCGAAACTCTCGACGGTTTATCCGTGCATACTTGAGGGTGGACGCCTCGATTAGTAGGTAACTATTGGGACACTGTTACTGAGATTCGTTTTGGGGGTTGTGGTATGTAGTTTGCGAGAGTTGGGGTGTTTTGGAACTACTAATAACGGAGTTTTATGCAAAATGACATTTTTTAAAGTAATTCACAGCAAGAGCAAATGTAGGAATTTCTTTCTTCTCTTAAGTATACTAGTTAGTTCAAAATAAAATAGAATATTCGTTGCGACTAATGAAAGTTTTGTGTTTTATTGAATTTCGCAGAGCCTTATAGGCTGTAAATGCATAAAAGCCGCAGTATAATGATAACACTGTTGACTTTATTTTCTGTTTTTTCAGGAAGAAAGTTATTGATGTTAATTGATGTTGAAATATATTTCGTGGGATTTATGCCTGTGATCTAAACTATATTTGGCGATAATGGTTAATCATTGACACTAGAACTACCAAACCTGTCAAAATGACGGAATTCAATTTTGTTATTTTATTATTACTGATGTTATGTTAAAGTGCTTCCGTCGATATTCATGTCGACATTTAATTCACTGTATATTCTACATTAGACTATAGTATGCTATACGATATCATATAGTATAAATATTTATATATTATGAAATGTAATTTATTATGCATTCAACGCTGGTAGTTCTAGTGTCAATTGGTCAGGTGGACTCTGAGGAACTACTTGACTGTTCATTGAAATCTATATTTTGCAACGCTGTAAATGTATGAACATCCACAGTCTACTTACTAATAAGATTTCCTTTATAAATAACAGTAATTCGTATCGAATAATACTTTTTAAATAGAAATACAATTTTAGTAACTAATAAGATTTCCACCAGACCAGTGAGGAATCTATAATTAAACATTTATTACAATAAAACATTTATTATATATAGAAATATAGAATAAAGAAGCTTCAACTCCATATGGACGACAATTTTCCGAGATCAACCATATTACCCCTCTCGAAACATGATTCATGATATTCTCTGTTTTTCACAACAACCATGATTTTCGTTCATAAATCATTATCATTTCTTCGAATTTCAATAAACGAATAGGAATATCAAAGACTTCTGGTCTCTCGAGCAACTCCAAAATTGTCCCCGGTTAAAAACAGTGGCGATTTTAATAACTGAATGGGACCATCAAAATCTTCTGCCATCCCAAACAACTCCAAAATGTTCGAAGCTTATACGTGTGAAGTCACTGTCGAAGAACATCGGAAAAGTCGAGCGTCTAATAAAATTATCCATCCGGGCGTAACTTTTTCGAGCGAGAGACAATTAACATTGAACGAGTCTCGAGGGCCGATGGCGGAGGGGGTCATTCCGGGGAACGTAATAATATTTACAAAAGTGGGAAGACGCTAATTGTAAGACGACGAGGGCGTTGGGGGGCGTGGGGAGGGTAGAAGGGCAGTGACTCTCATCGAATCGCGGCCACGCTCCCTCTCGTCTTCGCTCCTCTCTGCGATGCAAAGCAGCCAGCCCGCGTCAATTTGCACAGGTAAGCACTGAGTTAAGAATCTCAAAGGCTGTGCTTTCAATTCATCAGGGCCGTCGGGCCGCATGAATTTCGTTTGTGGTGGCCGCCCGTTTCTTTGAAGTTAATCGGAGTAAACCGCCACAGATCGCGCTCCGGTGTCGATTCGTCGAGACGAGTGGGTGCGAAATTAAAGCTAACCCCACCCCCAGGCCCCATCCCGCCTTCTATTATGTACTCGCGAGCCGCAATTGTACCGGCGGAACCGGTCGAACTTCGAGGGCATTGTTGGAACTTTGCGGGAAAATTAAACAGTGATTGGGAAGCTCGACGTTGATACTTTGGGAAAAAATCATGCTTATTTCAAATCTATTACATTCTAGATTTCTTCGTAGCTTTAAACAATTTTAGTCAATTTAGAAACGTTTAGTGATCTGTGGGAAAATGACTTACTACGGATTCCTCTCGATTATTGTCCTGGCATTACCCTCAATTGGGATTTTGGGTAAAAACGAATTTACGAGGGTCTGAAGCTTTTCTATCTATACGATTATTGTCTTGGCATTACCCCCACCAGTAGGGGAGGGTGTGTGTGCGGAACCTGTCAAGCCATACTTTGGTGTCGAGGGTTGGGTTTTGGGTAAAAAACGAATTTACGAGGGTCTGAAGCTTTTCTATCTATACGATTATTGTCTCGGCGCGGATCCGAGTTCGGGACGATAATCGAGAAGAGTCTGTAGGTAGTAAAACTTTGAAACATGAATTTACTCCCAATCAGCTTGTATTTTGATGTTTAATTGTCTGGTGGCATATAAACAAGTGTTTCGAGGGTTAATAATTTAAAGTATTAGTTTTCGAGGTTTTGTGTGAAATTAAAGAACGATTAAGATTTAGTATCCTCTTCCAAGTTTTTGAGATCAACCTAATGTCCACTAATTGCTGGAATATCCCTTGACCACGCCTACTTTCACGTGGACAGCTTTTTCCTTCAGGGTTCTTAATTTATGATGTTTCACACAGGTAACTATAGAGTCCTTTGGAAATAATTTTCTGATATCGTCAGTGCACTTTTGCAGTGTATACTGAACACACGGACGGTATAATTTGGACGAATAAGAAGATTTTGAAATAAACTATTAATCTTATACAACGCAAAACCAGCGAAGAGCCTTAGCACCGTTAGACACTTCGGAATATGACAATGTGGCCGGCGATAAAAAGGGGTCACCATTGACGGTAGGGGGAGGGAGACTATGGGGGCAGGTTCACCCCAATCCCCAAGCGGGCTCTTTAAATTCAAAAATCGAATCTACCGCTGCATTGTTCGTGCTCGTTGAACCAGGATCGACATCAGATGGCAGACCGTAACTGTACTTTAAAACTCCCTTTTTTCTCTCTTTCTTCTTTGACCCCCTCGCCGACCAGCGAATCCGAAACTGGAGTTTTGAGGGCAGGATCCACTGTTCCCTGTCTGAGAATTTCTCTTTTGACAGGGAACAATTTGACGAAAAATAATGCCTCGTCGAAAATCCACGAGCGAAAACGACAAATAGGGGATGAAAATCATGATCGTGACTTTTCTATAGATTTCGGAATAAATTTCTATTGTTTCTTTTTCGAGTTATTATTCCAGTATCATTTGGATCGTCTCTGCGGTAAGATCATTTCGTAGGTCGTAAAGGTTCATAGAATATGAAAGTCGCGGGTGAGCATTTGTTGCCGGAACACTCGTGCTGTATTTATAGAGGTTGCCTTGACTCGGGAGACCTAGCGCAGACCTCAAAGCGGAATACGTCAAAACATCGCGACAACGCTTCGCTAGCATGCGTCGCTTCTTTCATCGCATACCAATGTCAATTAAATTCTTACGTGAGATCTGTAGCAATTAAAAGCATTCTTGAAGGAACATCCTTCTGTTGCGCGATGCCATTAAATATCGATCGTTACAATATTAACTAGAACGTGCAATCGAAACCGAAAAGATTATTTTAATATTGAACAGAGGCATAAAGTATCTAGGTATGTCACTTCAGAATCATACATCGACTCTACAGGGGGTTAAGATTCATTCTTCACTTTCCTCGTTTCTTTATTCATTTAGAGAATTTAGTAGTGGAAATTACCGAACGTCCAATCAGATTTGAGACTCTCAGAAGCCAAATAGACCGACCTCTTTTTTTCTCAAATTTATTAAGTTTAGTATTAAATCACCCCCATAAGTCCCCTGTATTAGCAATCTCTACAGTATCAATAATTCTTATTATTTCTTATTCGAAGAAGTAGAATCCTTTTGACATTCAGAAGTCTCATTTGTCCTACCTTGACTCTATTCCCACCCACGTTCCAATCAAATATCGACCATCACGAAGGGTACAGAACCTTTAAACACCACACTAGTTCAAATTTGCACCATCGAAACATCACTTCATCCAATCCTTTTCAAATTTACCATTCCCCTATACCAAATCCCTATTAAAAACTGATTTCCCACTTCTGCAATCATTACCATTAAATTCCCCAGCAAATGTTACCCAACAAAACTACGTTACGAGTCCAATTCACTTTCATTCTCTCCAAGTACTTAATCATCAAATTCTCAAAATCCTCAATTGGCACTAATGTGGTGTTTACGTATGCAATTTGGGGTGTGGTTTCGCAGGCATAATGCCAGAGAAAAGTGGCAAAGTGGCATCCAGACGGACTACTCACCAGAATTGACTGTGTTCGTGTCTGCGTCCACGGACTCGATCTTCGGTTTCTTCGGTATGTCCTCTTTCTCTTCTTCGGAGGTCTCCGTTCGTCTTTTCGGTGTCGAGCTGGCGCTTGCCTTCAGCTCGATCGGGCTCCCAGCATCCGGCCCGGATCCCTGAGGCGTCGGAGGACTGTCCAGCCTTCCTCCGCCCCGTTTATTTATGGGGGCGGATATGCTGGGCACAGAGTTCAGCTTCGAGTCCTGATCGACGGACTTCAGGGCCAGGGCGTCCTCCGGATCGGAGTCCTCCGGAGCCGCCGTCGCCGGCGGACTGTGACAGCCCTGCAACGTGCTGCGACAGTGGTTGACCTTGTGCTCGATGAACCGCACGATCTCGCCGAGGGGGTAGGACGCCCTGCAACCCCCGCATTGGACGGTGTCTGGGGATGTGGTACCTTGCGAGGTTTCCGCTGGAAACAAAGAATTCGAGATTCTCCGTCAGATTGCGTTCGCTTGTGTACCTCGATTATGGATGGTGTTGAAATGACAGGGTGGAAAATGTAGAATTTCAGACCGATACAGGGTGCTTCGAAAAAATGTTACAGACCTTACGGGGAAGTAAGGGCTATGTAGAGAAATTTAAGAAAATATGAGATCAATGTTCCTATTTATAATCATGTAAGTGTTCTTTTTATTATTTATTTATGCAGCAATCAAGAAAAAAAATTATTGGGTATAAAATCTAAACCTCCCTTTATGATTGAGTGTAAATACAAGTATTTCTAAAAACATTTTAACTTAATAATAGTTCATTTAACACGAGGTATTAAATGTCCCTATTTCTGCTCAGCGAAAATGGAAATGCCGAAAACAAACTTTGGCGAACAATATTTAAGATTCCTTAAGTTTTCTTTAGTAAACACTTATTAAATTTTTTCTAATAAAATACTGCCATCTATTGTCTGAACTAATTTAAATAATTTTTTGTTAACTAATTTATTATTTCACTTTTTACATTAAATAAAAAGTATACGTACTGAGCAGAAATCAGGACGTGATTAGAAATAGAGACATTGACCTTATACACTATTGTTCATGAGTCTCTGGTGGGTGGGCGAAAGAATATAATTCAGAATTGTTAGGTTTGCAGAGGAGCAGTTATAATATTTATTATTATAAGTGGTTTTCTGCAAGACTAATTCTGATTTATTTAATTGGTCGTAAAAATGACATATTTTAGACCACGTTTGTTATTTTATTGTAGCATACACGTTATTCATCGAACTTTAATATCCTTTAGACAATATTTATTTCAGACTTTCAGCAATTTCGTAACGCCCTGTAACATTTATTGCATATTCAATAAGTGTTGTAATATTTATGAGTGCTAGTGTACATTTAAAAATTCCCAATCAAGTGTTAACATTTTTTTGAAGCATCCTGTTTATAGGGTGTATTTAGTTTTTATTATATTTTAGTTAATGATTTAGGGTTGTACTTCATTCTGTACGTTTTATACTTTATTGTATGTTTGAATATAGTATAATAAATACGTTATAATAGTAGTACTATGACATGTCGGGGTTATTTTAGAAACTGGACTACTACTTCTACGTAGAATGCATTCACATCCTGTATAGCCACGATACTAAAGACAAAGTAGCGTTCAAGACAGAACAGGTCAACTTTTTTTAGTACTTTCTCCCCTTGACGCCATACGCTGAGATTCCAACTTTTCACAAATGCCCCGACTTTTACTCGTTTTACACGAAGAGACGAGCACATGGCTCCATGAAACTAAACAGATCCCCTTAAAATGACCAGGACACTCGAAGATAAAGGACGGGGACACTTGAAAGTCCCTTTTCTTAAACCTGTGTCCTGGACCACCCACCATATGACTATTTTGTGGTATCGTTTGTATCCTTCCTATGCATTTTCTGTAGAAAAATCGTTACAAAAATAGAATTCGAAATTGAAACCTTGAATTAAAAAATGAAAAATTGGTAACAGAATATTTTCATTCATAGTTCACAAGGCAATTTAATGCTTTCCTATCGCGTGAAGCGCAGTGTTACCATCGCGGTCAAGGAAATCCGCGTTTGCGCGTTGGCCACTGGTCAATCAAAGCTCCGCCCAGAAAGAATCGAACGGAGTCCGCGCATCAGCGAAAACTCCGTCAAAAGAAAACCCTGTGGTCGCGTATACACAGATAAGAACTTCGTAAAATTACTTCAACCCAATTCATCTACTAGACATGTAAAAATGTAAGCCAATCAAGAACAATATATTTTATGTTTAGACTGCTGACTTTATGTATTTATAGACTCCAGAGCTCTGTGAAATACAGTAAAAGACAAAACTTTCATCGAATGCAACGACTTTTCTATTTTATTCTTAACTCAATAATATACTTAAGAGGAGATAGAAATTCTTACTTTTGTTCTTGTCTTCAAGAATTGCTTTATAAAATATTAATTTGCATAAAAATCCGCAGTCCAATTATTAAATAGAAGTGAGTCAATTTGGTACGACCAATTTCTAATCTACCATTCATTTTTCATCACGAACGAGAAAGTACATAAAAAATAATGATAACTGTAAATCATACAGATGTGCCTACAGTACTTGTGGCCATGCTCGAAGAAAGGATGCCTGTAGCGAAAATCTAGTTTCTGGGAAAAACGTCTTTAAAGTTTGACAAATCTGCTTCTGTCATGTACTGTAACCAAGTATATGGAAAAGGGTTGTTATATCAGTAGACAACTTTCCTAAAAACATCATTAAAACCGAAAATGTCATTGGAATTTGAAAATAAATAATGTCGCCATAAGCATTCTTTCTTTGGGCACAATCCACATTTTACTTCTGCTATAATTAGACCGCGAAATTTCGATTTTTATACAAAATTATCATTTTCTAAAGCAACGTATAAAGACTAGAGCAAATATGTGGGAATTTTCTCCTTTTAAGTATCTTCGTGGGTTCAGAATAAAATAGAAAACTAGTTTTGTGTTCAATTGTATTTCATAGAACCTCATACATTCTAACTGCATATAATCCGTGGTCGATCTACAACATTCTAAATAGTCCTACCCATTTTATATACGAATTTCTTAACCGCCAAATATGCCAGAGAAAATAGTTGGTTCAATCAATGAACAACTCCCGTAGCAAGTATGCACCCAACAGTCAATGTGCACTCGTGAATAAAACGACCAGACGAAGAGAACCGAAGAGGACGATAAATGGTTTCCCTGTTTTCACGTGGGGCTTTCATTCCGATGGATATGGACACTCGACTCGCCGAGGGAAGAAAAGATCGATGTATGAAACCATGCCAATTTCTATGTTAATGGGCCGAAGTATGGGCGAAGGAAGAGCCGCAAGAATCTTCGGGCGGAAGGATCTGCGTCGAGGACACTTAAAAGTGAATTGTTACGTCTGCGGCTGACCCCGGGACCTTAGACCTCGCCTCCCCCCCCCCCACGCCCCTTCCTTAGGCGAGCGACGGGGGTGAATTATAAGACTCGCGTAGAAGGAAATTAGATCTCTATATCAGCCCGAGCGGCCGCTTTCCTCGGGGCTAACCGAATTTCCCTTTCTGTTGTTTGCCCGTGCAGACACACGAATCGAGTCCGTGGGTACGGATTTATACGCGAGCCGTGATTTCATTATATGAAATCGCGCGACCCGGTATCGCTGGGAAATATTCGGGAATAGAATTGCGATTCCGTGATCTTTCTGGGACATCTGTCGACTTGGAGATTTTCGCTTCATCCTGCACGAGACGATTTTTGTTCATCCTTGTGTGTTTCGACACGTTGAGTTGGTAATTATTTGGCGGTGTTTTATAATTTATGTGGATAAATGTTACGTATTTCACGAAAGTGAATATGGGGATGATAGAAATATTATTAAAAGAATATGTAAGGATTACGAAGGTACTGAGGTCAATATACTTTACTGGATAAAAGCAGAATGTGTTTCGCAATATTCACCTATATTTTATGTTATTCATTATCACTGTGTTATATATTTTTAATGTCTGATCAATAACGTAAGAACATTCCACTGAGGAGAATGATCGACGATTCAAAGTTTTTCTTTTATTTTTAGGAATATATCTATAGATTAACGTAGATTTTCCTTTACCGAACTGCATTCGTAAAATAATTCTTCAAGATTCAATTGACCGGAGTAACTAAGTAAATAGAATCCCCAAAGCAATTAAATTAAATATACTCTTTGAAGTGAACCCTCGAAAAGAATACACCACCAGCAACAGTACACCATTATCACTCACCAGGCGACATCAACAGTAACAAAATAATAACCCCCAAAGAACCTGCATTCCATTCAAAGTCCCATCTCATGGGTGCAATTAAGATAACCATCGTCATTCCACCGGTATCCAGACGTTTCAAATTCTCTGTCACCGGAAGGCCTCGTACCTGGGTCCAGCAGGAAGCAAGACAGATCCTCCGACACAATTGCGTCCAGAGATCCATCCTTCGAGATCAAGCGAAAGATTAAATCGTTCCTCCGCGATCAACGTAGGCGGATTGGGAGGAGGACACTTCGAGCGATCGTCAAGCTATAAATGTTTCGACGGAAAAATCGAGAAACGGTAGAAACGAAAGACGAAGGGGACCAGAAGGGAGGAAAGTTCGTCGAGAGATCGTGTAACACCGTATCGTAGAGAGCCTCGGACGGAAAAAAGGAACGAGACACAGAGACCCCTGGTCTCTCCTCTGAATGGAGCGCGGGCTACCGGGGTCCGTTATTCGCCTACGATTCAAAAGCGCTCGGTTAGAAACAAGAGACGCGCGACCGGTCGTTAACGACAATGGGCTTTTGTTTTTTCGGGGGCAGATGTTGGACCGGGGCACACGGGAGCTGCGCGACGACCGACCGGTATATGCATGGCAACCCCCGGGCTTGTGCTGCGGGGCTTTAGGGCCCGGAACGCGAGCGAAGGAGGACCCCGAGAGAGACTCGACACGTGTCTCCTCGTCACTTCGTGAATCTATCCTCCCCTCTCCCCTTTTGGCGGGGAGACACGCGTGTAAAACGTTTCTCTCTCGGTCGATCTCTGTCCCGATGGAACCGTGTCTCTTCCTTGTAACCTGTCCGCAAACCGGTCGAAAGGAGATATACACGCGCCCCAATAGAGTGTCGTCGGCTGCTTATTCATTTAACAGCTTCCTGCTCGGCACGTTCCACGTTTGTTGCAAAATTCGGGTACGTTGTACCTGGCTATAAAGCATTTAACGGGTCGATACCGGGGGGGGGGGGGGAACCACCAGCTCTCCTTTTCGCTAGATATAGGGGATCTGGTCGATTCTAAGACTATAGGTAACTTCTGTAGAACACGGTCGTTTGGGTTCTGAAAATTGTCGTGTTTTAGGAGACTATACCTGAATTAACGAGTTGTCGGTGATTGTGAACAAAGAAGGGTGATGGTGAT